TTATATCTGGGTGAGGGCATAACTTGCTCCTATTTCCAAGAGAACCACTGGAGTGCAGGTTTTAACGGCTGCTGTTTATTTAATGCTAAGGGTTGTGATTTGCTCCCACCTCTCCATTTGGATAAGCAATACATCATAGGACGTCAGGATTATAGCTCAGTGGTTAGGAGCATGAGGTCTTGACTGGGATCAAATCCCAGCTCTGCCACTCGGTAGCTGTGTAGCCCTGGGCAACTTACTGACTTCTCTGTTCTTCAGTTCTGCTTTTGTAAATGGGAATAACACATGAAACGTCATAGGGTTGTTGTAAGTATTACATGAGTCAATGTCGAGTGCTTAGATCAGTTTCTGACACATAACAAGAACTCAGTAAACATTACCTATGATTACCTGTTTCTTTGTCAATTTTCAGTCCATATGAACCAACCCCACAAATACTCCCTGTATAAACACACCAAGAAATAACTAGGTGGCCCAGGCTTCCTTGAACATAATGAATCTAAATAATCTTGATACATAGCTTATTTGTCAGACATCTAGTTAATTTTCAGATTACTGTTTTATGTGTATACCATACAAATAAAAGATTAAAGTATCATAGAAATTGCCACTAATTTCCTATGTAATGTCTTATTCTCCCTCTTTCCCCAAGAAAAGAACCCTATTTTTTTCAGGGGAGCAATGTGCTAGGCTAAAAATGCTCACGTCCCTAAACTACCTACAGCAATGGTGGTCCAGTGACCCAATTCTGGGTCCCCTTTCTTTGCTTTGCTTTATTTTTCTCCGTATGATCATTTAAAATATACACTATTTTTTCTATCATCTCACCATACTTTCAAATGTAAGCTGCCTGTAGCTCGCGCTAGTCTGGGCATTACTATCTCCTGGAGCCCGGAGGGTGCTCTCCACACAGAGCAGATGCTCAGTGAACAGTTGCTGCGTGAAGACAACTGGAATGTGGTGGGTAGGGTTTCTAGGAAAACTTCGCGAAAGGATGTGCCTTGGCCTTTTGCCCGATTGCCTTCTTCCCCCACCCAGCTTCTGCTTCCCACCTAGAAGATGCAGCAGCCACTTGGAGGTCATGAGAGGGAAACAGAAACAAAACAAGGAAAAGAAAAAGAAAAAAAGCACGATCTGACAGTCTGGGTTCCTGAAGGCCTCCTTGAGCCAGCCCTGGATCTACCCATGACACAAGGATGTGTCTAATGAACCTTGTATTTGTTTATGTCACTATTTGTCAGGTTTTCTGTTACTTGTAGCTAAAGTCATTCCTCATAAATAGGAGTTACAAAGCAATTTCCCAGCCAAATTAAAAAAAAAAAAAAAAAACAGCCTTACTCTCTAGATATTCTTGAGAGTAGCCAGTGAGTAACAAGAAATTTACCTTTTGTAAATTTGTACCTAATGTTCCTTTTGTACCTTTTGTACCTAATGTTCACCTTTTCAGCCAGCTGACACGAATCCAACCCTGGTATAATAAAGTAGACTGTCTCATCAATAAGCAACGTAGATGGATATAAATAGAACAGGCTCAAATGAAAGCTCCCTTGGCCTCCGTTATTAAACTTTCAGTAAAAGCATATGGAGGGACCAGACAGAGTGTAAGAAAATAAGGATCAGTGGGGACACTGCCAAACCAGTGATGGGGCAGGGAGGCTTCTATCAATCCACCTATAATATCCATCTATTAATATTTACCCATCTATCTACCGCGCAGGCTGCGCACAGCCAGAGGCCGGCAGCCCCACGTGGCAGGAACATTCGAGTGCTGTGGTGCCAGGTATGTTACATTCTCACCACTCGTCTCCCCCACAAAAGACCCGCCTCCTCCACCTCTGGTCAGAGCTAACTCCCTATAACTAAAGACGTTAAACCCTGTTAGATGCTGGATTCTACTGGGAGAAGTGATGTATTTTTTAGAAACTGACATTTGCATCATAATTAATGCCAGATATGTCCCTCAGAAGAGGTCTTTGCTGGGGAGGAAGGAGGAAGGCACGTGCACTGGGGTCCCTGTGACAACTGGGGAGATCGTGGGCCTGAAGGCAGGTGTCATGGGGCCAGGGCTTGACTTCCCGCATTGCCTGTCGCCTCTGCACCTCTGCTTCCATGGGCAGGCTGCTGCAGGACTTGCCCACTTTTGTTTACCAAGTTCTCTTGCCTTTTGAATAAAAAGCATAAGAAAACTTCTGCCCATAGAACACCACTGACTCAGAACAAAATTTCAGCTGGGAGACACTTTGCAGACACTAACCAGACACAGCCAAGGGGTTTGCCAGGTCACCCTCCAGGGATTCAACATTCAACTGCAAAGCAACCAGCATTTTGATGTGAGGAATAGTGGGATTTTCTATTTGCTTTCCAAGTATAATGACTAAATTAGTCAATACAAACACTGCAACAGACCTACTAAAATTATAATCTGACCTAAAGATGAGTGGTACCTCACCTTTAAAAACAAACAAAAACAACACCTCTTGGAAGATTTAATACGAAATAATCATCAATGTAAAAATAAGTGTCGCCATTTTGCAATCACGACAGTAATAATTGATTCAAGCAAGATTCCTTAAAAGAATCTAAAACCAATAGGTGAAAGGTTGGAGAGGAACAGGGTATTCACATAGTCTCAGATTATCTCCCCACAGAATATTTACTCATTACAGAGGGGAAATTGTAACTTCTCAGAGGAAACCTGGCAGATAGCGCCTTAACCAAATAATCAAAGTTAACATCACCAGTAATGGCACAAATAGACATCATATGACTCTTGATGTCACTGTGGAGAAAAAAAGAAACAAAGAACCTCCAAACGACAAATACTTCACAAAATAACTAGCCTACGCCCTTAAAAAATGTCAATATCATAAAAGACAAAGGAAGGCTAAGAAACCATTTCAGATGAAATGTGACAAAAGAGACATAACATAAATACTATGAATGATTTTTTTAAAGTGCTAGATTGAGGAAAAAAGGGCTGTAAGAAACATTATTGGGACAATTAGAGAAACCTGAATGTGAACTGTATTTTAGAAAAAGTCATTGTTAAGCTTCCTGTATGTGGTAATTATACTACGGTTCTGTAAGAGACTGTCCTTGTCCTTAGGAAATAGATGCTGAAGCATTTAGGGGTGAAAGTCATGCTGTCTGCAACTCACCCTCAAGTGGGTCAGAAATAATAACTAGTGTGTGTGTGTGTGTGTGTGTGTGTGTGTGTGGTGCAGGAGAGAGTAAGAGAGGGTAAATGTCAACAATCGATGAGTCTAAGTAAAAGTTATATAAAAGTTCACTGTATGATTCTTATAACTTTTCTCTAAATTTAAAAATTTTCAAAAGACAGTTTTTTAAAGTTTAAAAAAAAAGAGTACCATAGTTTTCAAGAATCATTAATAGAGAAATGAAGGAAAATGTTTTAAAATTTTCAAACTGTTTAGAAACATGTAAGTTTGAATTATTTAGAAGTACAGAAGCAAAATGGCAGCGTTAGAATGGAGATGGTGTGTGTGTGTGCCTGTGTGTTTAACATTTTTGTTAACCTCAGAAGAGGCCGTCAGTCTGCCTCTTGGCCACAAGAGTCATGCCACATTTTACTAAGTAAAGGATATAAACACGGAAAGAATGACTCCCCACAAATGAGGGGAAGGACTGTCCGGCCTCACTAAGGTTAGAACAAATTTGGTGAGTCACTTCCTCTTAGGAGGAAGGGCAAACATTTCTTGTTTCCTGAAGGATTCAGAGATTCTGACGGACACCTGAGCTCTCGGCCTGAATCATGCTGTGTAAGTAGTAAACTAGGTTAGGAGAAACTACAGCCCATTCGCTCAATGCTTCCACACCCTGTGGTATCTCCAAGTTCAAAACCAAGGTCAGCTTAAATCTCTTCTCCATGTCAGCCTGCACCCTACTAGTTTCCTGAGAGGACACGATGCCACCGAAACAGAAGAATTATATCCGCATTTATCCTCTAAGCCTGAGGGGGCGACACCTTGGTTTTCTTTGGCACTTCACCTGCAACGTTCCTCAGTCCTGAACCAAGCCTACACAGAATTGTGGCTTCCTGGCAAAGCCACCTCGGTGCCAGCGGCACGCACACGTGGACAGATTAGGCAGAGCACACACACGCTCTCCCAACGTGAGCTTTTCATTCCAGAAATACTTTATTCCTCAACCCCTTATGCCTCTCTTGGCACGAACAGTACAAGTGGCTCTGTGCCAAAGGAAGTGTCTGTTTAGGGGTGTGGACTTTCTTTAAATTTCTTTACCTCAGAAGATCATAAACAGAACATTCTAGTATAATTATGATGGAATAAAGTAGAAAAGGAAAAGGTTATGGGGAAAAACAAAACATTTGTTTTATTTTTAGTTTTGTTTTATTTAAGTTGCCTAAAAGAAATACTAGAAACACAAGATAAAACATAAAATTATCTTCCATGAGAGTGGAAATTACAGAGTTTAAGTTTGGGAAGGGCAGCAAAAATATTACCTTTAACGGGAAAGGTCAGTGATCATTTGCCATCTTCTGACACACACGTTTATTCTTGTTTTAAGGTCACTTACAAAAGGTCATTTACCAAATGAGGCACAGGGGAGGGTTTTTTAATTATTGTTTTATTCTGGAACATACAGTATTTTACTTTTGTCCCTTGCTTCTTGGCAACTTTCACCCTATATTAAAAATTGACGTAAAAGTTGAAAGCTTTTTCGTTAACTTACCTGTCCTTTCTCTTTCTCTATGTTCACAACCAGGTATTTATTTAGGGTTCACCCACAGCAAGCAGTGTGAAATCAATAACTCTTCGCAGAGCCCTTAGGCATCACCAGTTGGATTACAAACACACTGTTAACCACCTACATACATGTACACACACAACATGTAAAGGAAAATGCCATCAAACTCCATAGTACATACGCACACGATCTCCTGTTCGATTTCCTTCAGTAAGGACCTAAAAAGCACCTTCTTGGAAAGTCTGATCCTGGGCAGAGGGAGGAAAACTTACTTTCTTTCCACTTCTGGTGTTGACACGGCGCTGCAGAAGCCAAGCGACTCCTACGAGAGAAGATTCATATTGTCAGTGTGGGCAGAGCAGCAGGCTTCATCTCATTTGTACAAAATATCACTGAAAAAAAAAAGGCAGAAGCAAAAATAGATGATTAAAGTCATTGTGCTTACTTACTTCGATCTGGGACCGCAGCTGAAGTGACGTGGGACTGGCATCAGGTTTCTCCTAAAACAGAACAGATGCCGGTTTAATGAGACTTCCAAACGTGGCACACACCAGAAAGACCAATAGATGTGTAAGAAGAGAAGGAAGGATTCGGGGGACACTAGGGTATATAATGGGAGCCAATGGCGGAGATAAACAGATTTTCTGGAAAAAATAAAGTACTTTTAAAATGAGAGATCTGGCCTCTTAAAATTGAACTGTTTTCCAAACTTCAATGCTAGACACTGCTGACAATTTCATTGCATAAGAAAACAGCACAATCTAACTGAAGGGCACTGACAGTTAATGGTGAAATAATTCTCTGGATATATTAATCCTCAAACCATCACTAGGACACTGAATTACTGTAATCCATTTGATTTCAGTTATTTTCCAACAACAACAGCGTTTCAATCTGGTTTCAAAGTTCTAAATGCATTTAGAGTCCTATGCAATGCAGGACTAGTTGTCAGCGTCTTTTGGAAGTTGGAACGCTAACTGGATGTTATCTTGCAGCCTGAAAAATCACATACTCCTGTGAGACAAATGAACCAGCCTAGCTGGAAATCTAAAACCAAAAACTCTCAGCCTCCAGTCAATACATGAAATATAAATGTGTGATATTATGAGTGTACTGAAAAAAAATCATTAAATCTTGAAAGAGAGGCAGAGGCATCAAATAATTTTAGAGGTAAAACCATGTAGTATAACACCTCCATTTTATAGTTAAAGGGAGGCTGTATCCCCTTTGAAAGTAAGAGAGAGGAAATAAACCATTTACCTATGATGAAAATAAATTATGCAAATTATGCATTCTCATGTGCATCTAATTGTTTGATTTATTAAAGTTGTCTATTTCATCATTAACACAAAACTAAACCAATATTAAGAAACTTATTGAAGTATAAAAGTAGCAATCAAATACTATAATAATTATAACTCAGCGTAAAGTTATACATTTAAATAGAGAACAAGAATCTGGTACAAATGTGGAGTATCAAAGTGAATGTGTTTTCATGCAGGATTGGAGGGGTGTTCTGGGGATCTGTTGCACAACGATGTTCATGTGATTGACAATATTGTACTGTACACTTGGAAGCTGTCAGGAGGCTGAATTTTATGTTATGTGTATTTTTGCCACAATTAAAAAAAAAAATGAATGTGCCAGAATGAGTACATCTGAGAATGGGATGACTGTGGCTAAGCAGCCTGAAAGAGAAAAGTGTTTTAAGGGACTGGCGACACACAGCCCCCCGCACCAGCCCCCACCCCCATCCTTATTTCTTATAAGATATAACAGTGGTGTGAAAGCCCCACAGAACTTCCCTCTTATTAACATCTTCCTGATTTTTATTTGCTGCAGTTGTTCATAAGGGACATGTTTATATTTCTGTACCAAACTTGAAAGACCATTTTTACAAAATAGTAGATGGAAAATGAGTTCTATTCCAAGGGCAGTTGGTAGCATGTCATATTCAGGTGCAGTTAACAAAAGGGCTATATACTTTGGACATTCCTGTACTTACAGACCTATCACAGTTCCTCAGTATCTAACCTTTTAGCATCTTCTAGAGAAATTTACAAACTTAAACAGCAGGAGGTAAATTTTTAAACCTAAATCTTCCCTATTCCTGAGTTGGTACAGAGACCTCAGAATGCTGAGGTCTGTCATTTCCTCTGACATTTTCTCTGAAACTGCCCCTTTACCACCCAATTGCGGCCCATGTCCTTCTATAACCATCAACAGAAATGACTGATTCAACTCCCCTCCACTCCTCCATGCTCACCTTTTCTTCAAGCTCTAAGTGTTACTTCACTAAGTAATAGTTATGATAGGAAATTATCTTCTATTGTCCATGTTCATCTGCATTTTTCTAATAGATTTTATTTGTTGAATGCGCCATTTGTCATATTGTATCATAAATGTAATGTTTATGGTATATTATGCAAAATGTACCTGTTCCTACATACAAAGTAGTTGCTTGTTAACAACTATTTTAGATGTTTGATGATAAAAAAGCAACATTTTAAACATTTCATCTTAACATGTTAGTTTGTTACTTTTAGTAGGCATTTGATTGTGTTTTAGCTACTTAAAAAACAATTGTGTACAAAGGCGGGGGTCTTGCCATGTTGCCCAGGCTGCAGTGCAGTGGCTATTCACAGCCGCCATCACTGCACACTGTAACCTTCAACTTCTGGGCTCAGGCCAATCCTCAGCCTCCCAAGTAGCTGGGTCTACAGGTGCTCTTGACTGCAACTGCGCCTGCGCCTATATCAGCTTGGTTTAGCTACTTTTTAGGAAATTAGTTGGGTGTGTAGTTTGACGTATAATTTATTAAAATTCATTACATTAAAATGATGGAGCCAGGTAATGTTTTCACACAGAACATTTGTTTTTTCAGGGACAGCTTCTTGATGTAAAACAGGAGATCTTGTACAGTGATATCTCTAGTGAATTTTCTTTCCAGAACATGCAACAAAATAATTTTTTTCAGGGCACGTCTTATTAATTTTATCCCTGAAGGAAAGAGACTACAGTCATCATTTAGAAGCAATTTTTAGAGCAAACACATCCTAAAGTAAAAATATTACACAACTGAGGAGAAGCTTGTGAAATTGCCCACTAAGTTAAGGACCGATATGATGCTTGGAAAGAAAAGCAGAATGGACTGTCGGCAAAATTCCATTATTGTCACAAAAGTACCTAAGAGCAATAACTATCATGTACCATGTGAATATTATAAAATGTTTAAAACATATAAAATATATAATAAAAAATACAGCAAACCCTTGTGGACCCACCATCCAGTCTGAGAAACAAAACATTACAAGTAGAGTCAAGCAGATGTTCTGATACACACTTGGGTATTACATCTCGTGGGCAGAATACGAAACAAGTCTCAGTAGATGTGTTATGCACATAGAAGGAAGAACCGCTGGACGACTTTTTGTTCTGTTTATCACCGAAAAAAGATACTTAGATTTTTCTCATGGCACAAGGTGGCGTGAAAAATGTGATGGAATCAGACAGAGGGAGCAGTAGCCATGTGAGCAGCAACAAAGGGTGTTGTTTACATAACAAAAGGATGAAGGATTCAAGTCAAAATGGACAGAGAAAGTCTTCTTTAAAATCTTCCTTTCTTGTTTAGTTTCCAGAGCCGCCGGCTGCCCGCTTCTCTGCCCCAAAGTCAACAGTGCAAAGGAGTGGAAGGGCAGAAAGGCATAGTTCTGGGAGCCCAGCAGAGGAGAGGAAGTGATGACGGGGGAAGGTAGATAAGAATTGCAGAGATGCCCCTGACTGCCCAGCCACGACTACTGTACTCAGAGAACTAACGGTCCACAACATAACTCCGGATTTGGAAGTCGTGTGAACAGAAATAGTAAAAATTGTGAATACCATCAAAACACGGTCATCGAGTATATGTGTAACTTTTGAGCATGTTATAGAAGAAATGGTCACTGAAATTAAGACTCTTCTCTCCCTCCCTAATATTCGCTATTGTGGTTAGTACTGCCAAACATGGTGGCTTCAACCAACAAGCATTTTATGGCGCTCACGGATTCTGTGGGTAAGAAATCAGAAAGGCAATGGCAGAAAGCCTTGTCTCTCAGTGTCTGGGGCCTCAGCTGGGCAGATTTGAAGGCTGGGGATGATTATTGGTTGGGGCTATAATCACCAGAAAGCTCACTCCCGGGTCTGGAGGCTGATGCTGGCTGACAGCTGGGACCTGAGCAGGGACATTCAGGAGAACACTTATATGTGGGTGCTCTGTGGGCTGCCAGGGCTTCCCCACAGCATGATGTTGGGTTGCAAGAGCAAGCATATGGAGAGAGCCAGACAGAAGCTGTATCACTGCTTATAACATAGCCTCCTATGGCATGACGTCTGCCAGAGTCACCAGCCCTCCCAGGGCACGGCCCCACCTCTCTCTTGGTGGGAGGAGTGCCAAAGTCACATTGTGAGAACAGCATTGGATGGCAGACATCGTTGGGGCCAGCTTGGGAATTACAGTCTGTAACGCTGGCTGCCACGATGGGCCAACTTGTAATTTTTCAAGATGAGGAATGAGATGAAATCATTTATTCATGACAATGTCCATAAGGATTATTTGGCAGATTTTACAGAGTTTACTCAAGTAGCATATCCTGGCAACGTATTTTGGTCCTCGCCTATCACTTAAAAGTCAAAGTATCACTTTGTTTTAGGCTATAATGATCATCTCTCTCATTTCAAACCTAAAATTATTAAAAAAAAAAAACTCAAATATGCAAAAGTAAAGAGAACAGTATAATGAACTCCCAAATTCCTATTAGCCAGCTCCAATAACGATCAACTCAGAGTCAACTTTGTTTTCTCTATACCTCCACCCTTGCTGCAACTCCACCCCATTTTACTTTGAAGAAAATTCCAGACATTAGATCATGAAATATCAACATTTTAAAGTTAAGGATTAGATATCAGAGTTTCTTGGGTCTTAACTGCTGCTCAATCTTGAACAAATGGCTCAATCGCCAGAATTTAACTCTTTCCTAGCACTGGAGGGCTTTTTTGGCCACTGCAGAAAAAAAATCATATTAATGAAATTTAGATGTTGCAAAGGAACATGAAGAAATGCATTGCAAAGTTGAACGTAACGGAAGAGAGTTCATTAGAAAAGTACTCTTGTTTCCCAAGTGTAAATATTTCATCCTTTTACATTTGAGTATGATATGCTCATTGACTTTGCCTTGACTAAGTATTCTAAGCAGTATTTAGTGAGAAATAACTCCATAATTTGGGCCACGTTCAATATCAGGATCTAAGGCCGGGTGCGGTGGCTCACGCCTGTAATCCTAGCTCTCTGGGAGGCCGAGGCGGGCGGATTGTTTGAGCTCAGGAGTTCGAAACCAACCTGAGCAAGAGCGAGACCCCGTCTCTACTAAAATTAGAAAGAAATTAATTGGACAACTAAAAATATATAGAAAAAACTAGCCGGAAATGGTGGCGCATGCCTGTAGTCCCAGCTACTGGGGAGGCT